AAAAGGGAAACTAAAGAGATAGCAAATCCAACTTTAAAGGAGTGAATGATTCTTCTGGGATCATCCTGTCCTAATTTCTTTGCCTTTCTTAGGACCTGGACCAACTTCCTGGCTAAAGCCATTGTTAAAAAATGGAATGTCTGAAAATTGGAGGAGGAAAATGTTAGGGTCTACTGAATCACTATAGAGCTCTCTTGTTGACGGGGTATTCATTAACAACAATTAGTTTTTTGTCACACAAGGTTTGTCACACACGGTTTCAGGGGCTGTCAATTTTTTAAGCGGTTGGGAACTTGGGAGCGTCGAATTCATCCCCATTAAATCTAAATATTAAAATTTAGGAATGAAAAAGGGTTATTATGTGCTGTCTTTTTCTTAAAATAATAATAAAATAAAATGAAAAATTAAGAAGTTAAAAGACATATCAAGATTCTCATTAAATCATTAATTACATGAATTTTAATTTTATATAATAAATAATTTAATAAACTATTTAATAAATGTATTGACACATCAAGATATCTTCAAAATTCGGATACCCTAATAATAATAATAACATATATAATACAATAAAATGGAGATTTAAGGTAAGCTGAGATAAGAAAGAACCGAGAAGATTCTACAAGGTAACAGTTGGTGACTAATTACGTATGACATAGACAGGTCAGATATGTTTATTTTGATTTCTCGATCAGTATCCGAAGTTTCGTCCCAATTATTTCAGACTCGATCAGCTGTAATGCATCAGAATGGTGGGTGGTTTTCCCAACGAAAATTGCTGTATACACAAAATCTCAAACTCGAAATTTTGCTTAAACTGAAATAAGCCACTTGTCATTTGATTTAACCTTTCGTTGATGATCAAATATGTTTATTAGTACGGACAGAGCGAGTGATTCAACGTAAGAGGTTGGTTTTTAATTTGTCCCGAAGCATGTGCTTTGCTGGCAATTGGCACACGGTGCATCGCGTAGAGTTTTTTTTTTTTTTTTTGAAAGGACAGAATACTCAAATTCACCTCCAACATATAGTGGCAGAAATAGATCCATTCTCAAACAAAACATGGAAATAAATTTACTCATAAAGTTTGTGATTCAGATAAATTATCTCAAATTTAACGTGTAACATCATCTGATATAAGTAATATGTTAATTTGACATCATCTAACGTCAGTAATCCATTAACGAATTAACGGATTACTGATGTTAGATGATATCACACGTTAGATTTAAGGTAATTTGTCTAAATCAAAAACTTTGTGGGTGAATTTATCCTCATTTTTTCTTTAAAAGTGAATCTGTCCTTACCACTATACTTTGAAAGTGGATTTGGGTATTTTACCTTTTTGAAAAATATGATACGTGGACGAGTACAACATTTTTTAGTACAATTTTTATACCGAAAAAGGTTTTTTAGTC